GAAATAAACGATTAAATAGAACAACAAATAGGCAAACGTATTCAATTGGAAGCTTTTTTATTGTTAGGTTCGAAGTTCCTTGCGTGTCCAGAGCTTTTTTTGGATGTAAATGGCTAATATCCTTTCTAATTTCTTCATAAGTCACGTTAAAAGGATCTCCTAAATGTGTTAAATATTCTGCCAAAGCTAGCTGCATTTCCTCTTCAACATCCAGCTTTGTTTCTTCTATCACCTGTTCAATTGGAAAACGGAAATGATTCGTGTAATGGTCTGCTAAATGCTGTAGTATGTCTTCAGGGTTTGAAATTAAACTATCCGCATCCGTTATTGCTTTGATAGGAGCAGCCTGGGAACTAAAATGCTTTGATGTGAATTTCTAAAAGAATGTTGAATCACTAGAAGAGCACAAATCCAAGAATCTAAGATATTGATCGGTTCTGTAATTTTCAATTAAAGTATTTACATAATGTTTGTGTTCTTGATACAGGTCATATAACCAAAGGCTACGATTTCTGTTCTTATAATAACGATTACGAAGCCTATGTAGCACCTTAATCTCTTCACGAATCGAAGGTGGTAGTGAGCGGCGGTAGCGTTGTACAGGTACTTGACGAGATACTCGTGTTAGCAATGACCCGATTAGCATTGAAAATACTTGAGAAAATTCCTCCCGTTCTAAGTGATAAACCAGATGGTTTAAGTAACTATATATGAATGATAAAAAAGTACTATAAATTGTCCATCTTATATCTTTGAAGAAGAACATTGAGGAAGTCAAATAATTGCTGGTGTGTAACACTGGCCAGTGATCACTGATTCCTTTCTTAAGAACACTGGTGTTTGGAGACGGATCTGATGTGATAACTAAATCAATAACATTGGTTGACGTGTGTGTGCGTTTAGATGTTGCTTCCGTTGGTGTGATGTGTAGATTAAATTCTTCAATAAAGGCCTTCAAGGTTCGTCCTCTTGCATCTGTCTGTGTACATCTCCAGAGCTCTGAATACGCATTGAAGTCTCCGAGCAAAATAGTTGAAGACATGGAGCAACCTGTTCTCAAAGAATTAATGGGTAAAGTACTTGATCGAGGAGAATAGCAGGCGCAAACCTGAACAGAGCAACAACCAAGAGAAACTTCTATCGAAATTAAATTAGGTTCGCAAAATATCAAAAAGCCTGAACTGAGGAGTGCACCAACAGCAAAACTCCTCCATGAGGATTAGTTCCTGGAGAAAACAACCTTCTATAACCGGGAAACCACTGAAAGTCGATTTGTGAAGCAATGCTACCAGTTTCAACTAGCGCACAAATAGTAGGAGTAGAAAAATCTATTATTTCCTGAACCTCGGATAACCGACTGCTCACGCCCTGCATGTTGAAAAGAAGCGAAGAGAACGGCCTCAAGACAGAACAGCCTTCTGGAAGAGTCGTGCTCCAGAAAGAGAAGAAATTGTAGATTTGGAGTTCCACTCATTGACAATATCGATTAAAAGATTTTGATCGAAAACAGACATTTGCTCTAGGTATGGATAAACAGTGTCTAGTGGAATGAAAGAGTTAAAAATAACGAAAGGTGAAGATAAAGGGCTTAAAGACATGATTGCTCTGATTGAAGATTTGCATTAACAGTATCAAACGTATTTAAAAAACTAGAAGATGGTGTGTCCGAAATCGAAAAATTTGACAGTAATTTGGAGAAAGCTGAGGTGCTGTGAGAAAAACTTGATTCACTTAGTCTCAATGCTTCTTTTAGTGTTGATAAAAAACCATGTAGAAAGACGTTGTGTTGTTATGTTACGGCTGGATTTAGCTTCAACTTTCTTGAAAAAATTTAGATTTTTAATTAAATTTTTTAGTTTATTAATCAATGACATGATTGCTGCGCTATTACCAGTAGCAACTAAAATCAGAAATAGATCTTACAGCAGTTGGACTTAGTGTCGCACATAGGTTAACACTTCTCTGCAAGAGAAAGAAATTTGACTGCAGAGGAGCGTACATGAACTTTAAGGGGGGGGTAGCTGGCTTAGGTCTCTAATCTTAATCAATTTGATCTATTGTTTGGATCCCTGCCATTGCGCTCAGATAGAAATGCCCAAACTTGTTAACTAATTTAGTTAGTATACGTTTTACGAATAGATGCCATAAATGAAGTAAAATATAATAACTTACCACCGTCATTTGTTTTTGCTGTCGTGCCAGCTGGTGGTGCTTTTTTCCGTCGAATAAAGGCAATCAGTGGTGGCGTAATCAACCGAAGAACGGTTGATAAACCACCGATTAAACTGACGATAGTTGTCACAATATAAATGAAATCACCTCGTGTAAGAAATGTATATGTATAATAGAAAAACAAAAACCTAATGAACTAAGTGGGTGTCGTGGAATCGGCTCAAATCGTTCACTTTCCATCTGCGTAATAAACATAAAACAGTTAAAAATAAGAAAGTAAAATAGAAATGAAACTTCTATATCAACAGAACAATGATTGACAATCCTGTTATCTTAAGAAGCCTAGAATCGTAGAGTATAAGAATCGTCGAATACCTGTCGTCTCTTGACTTGTAAATATGAATAAAAACAAACTTAAAAGAAAAATGAGTGGGAATGATTAATTACATTTGAAAGTATTTTTTAATGGCAATAAAGGAGTACAACTGGAGACAGCCTTCTCGAACAGACTGTTCCACTCTAATGGCGTTCGATGAAAGAAAGACGAGCGCAAGTGAGCTTTTGAAACTGTGTGGCTTTTCACCGATTGGGAAGTATTTCTGTCCGAATCTAAACGACCTGACCGGCGGCCAGTTGATGTTTCCATAAATGGTGGAGAGAATTTTGAGAGAAGAGACAAGTTATATCTTATTTTAAAACCTTTGAAAAGGCAAAAATAGGGTCTTCTTCATGATACATGGGGTAGATTTAGGTTTTGGATTGAAGCACTGACTGATGCATCGAACTTTTTAAAAATTAGCCATGCACCCATGTTTTTTAATTTTATCTAAGTCCGTGCTACTCACTGTCGTATACAACTGAACAATAATCAAGCCTGAGAAGAATACAAGCTTTGTAGACAGTTAAACGAATAGATTTCGGAGCCTCGCGAAAGACACAATGCATCGTTCCTAATCGTCTGCGACGTGCAAGAGTTATATCATTCACGTGCTAGCTCCAAGTCAAATCGTGTTTCGTCAAACTTTCCGTTACTTATCAAAACTATTAAAATTATTAAATAGTATTACTTTAGTTTGTAATATCGAGTATTCTGTTTATGATTGACTATTATATTTGCGGGGAAAAAACAATTATTTGTTTCATACCTTTGTTTTATGACTCATATTGACTTATTGGTAATATGTTGAAGTGTTACAACTACCTTATAACCTTTATTTTCTTATCTTGCTGTTTCTTATTGTAATTAATGTTAAAATCTTGTACGATACGGGTGCATCGTTGAGTAAAACTGATGACTTTGATTGTGATTTTCGAGTTCAGTTATCTGGAAGTATGTATGATGATCAATATCAAGCACGTCGTTTACAATAAGAAGGTGTTGCATGTGAATATGATGTTATGTATATAACAAAAGTTGAAATTCAAAATGAAAATCAAATTGAATATGTTGTTCAAGCACCTTGTTATATTCGAATTTTTGGTAGTAAGCTTTTACAAACATTAGCACAAGGTTCACCGTTTGATAATAACCAACTGTATGCCAATGATTTTACAACGAAACAAGATGTTTATGCCGTTATACAAGAACAAAACATACGTACAACAGACACATCGACAATAGATATGGATCAAGCTAGTCTGTTTTTTCAATACTCTGATGCCTATCCTCCAGCTGATCCCGATATTCTTCAAAAATTCGACGTATGTAGACAAAATTTAACTGATGAACAAAAGAAAACTGGTCACGGTAATATTGAACAGTGTATTCTCTATCCCGCTGATCTATTTGGTCGAAGCACAAAAAAGTTTTATTACAATTTAACAAAGATTTATTTCATATTGAACTACTCGATTCATATTTTGATATTTCGTTTTCAAAAAGAATATCAAAATTCATCAATTTATATAACATTCTCTATTGAACATTAGCTGACGAGCCCATACCGAGAAATTTAAGCAAAAAATTTCGTCTTTTGTTACAATTTTATAAGAAATATCGCCATATGAATAATGAATTAACAGCGAAAACTGAAGCTTCCTATGAATTTCGTCTGTCATTTTCCATTATTGAAGCAATACTGACCAAATCTCAATCGGCTAATCAAAAACTACTGAATAGAATAGCTCGTATCATTTATTATAAATATCTAAAAATTGAAGCGAGGGAGTTTGATAAACCAAAAATTCCTTCATATTTCGTAAAAACACGTGTTTTATGGATGTGTGAAATATTTGATATTGGACGCGACGATAAAGAACATCTTGCGATGAAATTCATCGAATATGCTCGTCAAACACTTGAAACTGGTATGTCAACATTATTTCATTGAACATGTAAATATCTTGGCTCCATACAATTTAGACACAAAAAAGAAAGCTTGTGTTATATTACACAAAGTAGACATTGACAATTTGTTTTCTGATGATAGCAAAGATAAACCGTTGGATCACGAAAAGCTGTCAGAGAATATAGTCCGATTTTCTTCGGAAATGGTTCAACAATTTCATGAATTACAATTAAAACATTTTGATGAACCATGCCACATTTACTTATCAGAAATATCATTACGACAAATATTTTATAGTTTATCATTGATAGAACAAAATAACACGAACTGGTGGAGTACTTGGACAAATGTTTTTTTGTCCGCTGATCATAGCGAAAAAGCAATTGCTGATCTAACCAAGCTGAATGCTTTTGACATAGTATCTGAATGTTTTTTTAATTTTACATATACGATACAACGTCGATGGCCATTAATTAAAATGATCAGACTGTCCAGAATAGTTCGAAGAATGAAACGAGAGAACAATAAGCTATAGACATTACTATGCTTTCATCACTGGAAAACAGAATGACAAAGTTTACTGGATTTTGAGCTAAGCACCATGTACATTGTTGTAATTAGTTGATTAGCACTGAGCTATACATTTTTATATAAAAAGTCTTATTTCATAAACATTGACGAAGCACATAATTCGCACGGTGGGCAGGTGGGCATAAAACGAAAGTGTTACTTTTCAAAGGTTAAATATTGGAATAATTACTTCTGTCTTTGATCTATCTTGTCCTGAAATAGCATTTCCAGAAATTAAGTTGAACGTTGGAAAAACACATACTAAGAAATTTGTTCAAAAAACGCTATCCTCAGATAAAGTTAATTCTTTGACCAACTTATTGGGATAGTTTAATTTGAAAACCTATCTGAAAAGAATTCTTCATCTATGAGCTTCATTTTAATGAAAAGATCATTTCGATTCAACTCAAATTGCTACAGAAAAAACCAATCTACTAGGCTAAAATTGGGTATCAAAAATGCATCATTCTGTATTTTGTAAACGCTACAAACAGCTAAAGTCCAATCGAGTTTAATCTTTCGCCAAATATTTCTCTATGTGTGCTCTACCATTGACCATAGCGCCGATTAGCTCCAGTGATTCTCGATGGTGTTGGAGATTTTCCAACTCTAGTTTTTGACCCTAAATGCCTTTTTTTCCAACTAATGTAACATTTTAGCGCAAAACCAATGTAATATTCAGAATTAGCTCTTCCAGCTGCATCGAACCATATATAACATTGATTCTTCCAGAAAACTCCTTTAAATTTTCTATGCTAATAATGTTTCCGGAAATTTAACATTCTGCCTTTTGTAAACGCTACAAACAGCTGAAGTCCAGTCGAGCTCAAGCTAGATGAAAACCGCCTGAAAACCCTAATTTTCATAAAATTGACTTTTCGCTACATTTTTAAAAGCTTTTCTAAAAATGAATATTGCCATAAAACTCAAAAACTCAGTCGACTAATGTGTATTTTAAAGCGTTTACTTGATTTTCAGTTTTGGGTGAAAATCTCGGTAGTTTTTCACCATGAAAATTCGAAAAATTAAAGTAGTCAAATAGGATAGAAATACACATTAGTCGACTGAGTTTTTGATCCTGATTCCGAATGCGATAATTTTATTGCTCAAAAGTTGAGCTCTGATCGAGAAAATTGGCAATTACGGGCAGAATTCCGACTTTTTCGCGTCTAATTTAGAAAAAATGAATTTTCCTAGCAACGAAACAAAATTTTAAAAAGAGCGAACCATGTTATTAAAGCACGCGGCGGATACAATGCCATCGATACGACGGTTTCAGCCCTTGAGATAAAAAACTAGATCGGGTTGGAAAATGACTCATCCGCTTTTCCAATGGTCCACTCGAATGTCCATGGTGAACAGGCGTTTACCTTCGAAATGGATTTAATATCATCTTTTAATTCAGCGTTTAACGCCGAGTAAGAAAAAAATAGTTTGAATTTAAAACGGCGTATTGAAGAATCACCACTACCGGTAAAAAGACTTTATAGAGAAGTATTAGTATCATTACATACAACTACACCACAACTGACATGTGGCAATATGTGACAAATATAATGGTGATGAAGCAGGAACAAAACGCACATCAACAATCCGCTCCATCACTTCCAGAAGAAGATGGAAATGATAATGATGAAAAACCACCGAACCATGTAGCAGAACTCATCCGCACAGATGAGTCATCCGACATCGAGGATTTGCAGACGATATGGAGCGTCTCGATGGAAACGAACAACCACAAAAGCAGCAATTAAAAATTGCATTTTATGCCTGCGTGTCTGTACGAATCTGCAGATGCCGTTAAGACAGTCACTTTCGGGCATAAAGCCCTTTTCCTTTTTTGTGTGTGTGTATGTGTGCCTCTGATACTTTTTATTTCTATTATTTTTATCTTCTAGTTTTTGTTTTTTTCGTGTGTGTTTTGGATCGAAAAATTGCCTGATGAGTTTTATTTTTAAATAAAACGAAACGCGTCACAATAAACAATTTTATTTTCTATGGCACCGCGAACAATATTCTAAACAAGCATATATATATATACTTATACATAAAATACAAAAATGAAGCGTTTTTTAAACTCTTGATCAGAACATCATTCAGAGCTGGGAGATGCCTCATATTGATCAGAAATGTTTGCTCTATTTCCTGATATTATTGAAAATATTTTTAGATTTGTTTTATTATCGAAAAGTAAAACTTTTTCAAAATCCAAGTTTTCAAGGTTTTCAGAAATGAAAAAATTCAACTAAGCGCGGGTAAACGGCGGGAGTAACTATGACTCTCTTCTGGTAGCCAAATGCCTCGTCATCTAATTAGTGACGCGCATGAATGGATTAACGAGATTCACACTGTCCCTGTCTACTATTCTAAAAACCTACATATCCCTTCGATGAGCACCAAATAACATTGGATCCTGATAGTAGATACTGTGGGCTATCTGATGATGTGCTTAGCTCAATATCGACTTTTTATAAAAAAATTTATGTTTCTGGCTGGAAGGGAAAAAAAATTAAAGCCAAATGTTGGATAGTTTGGGAGATATCAGTAAAATATTTTTCAAAAAATTGTGGGACATGTAGTGTGAAAATAGCCATTTTTAAAAATGTTTTGCTCCTTTCTAGCGTACGACAAAACTAAGCTAATCCCTTTTTTTTATAGAAATGTTACTCTAACTGTCAGCTATCTTTTCCATATTTTTGATCGGGTATAAGTGAGGTATTGACTGAGCTACATCGCGCTGATCCCCGCAGGAAAAAAAAACACTGTTTTGTCTGCGACGCTATTGTTAGTGTGACCTCCGCGGGAAACTGCGAATGATTTGGGAATTCATTTATTTACTTTAAAAGGTCTGTATGTCTACTACAATTCACTCACAAAGAGTAAGATGAGATAATGTTTCGTTCCAATAAAAAATTGCTTTTTTTGTCGCTAGGTGTCAGCTAAAATTATGGTTTTTCATATTGAGTCGCTAATAACTCAATAACCACTTGTAACTTTCAGCTTATTTTTTCAGTGGTAGTGAGCATAGTATAGATGAATAACATATAAAAATTGTACTAAGATTCATTCATTAACAAAAAAGTTATAGCTCTTTTATATGTCGGATATAAATGGTACAATACCAGCGCAAATCGCTCACCTAATCCACCATCCACTCTTTATCGTCTTTGTTGCTATACTTTTTCTTTTCTCTGTTTGCTGGTCATTTTTTCTCCCTTTTCTATGAAACTTCACTTACTTTACACTCAGAAATTAAACGAGTAAATAAATGCGGGAATATCTATTATGCATTCAGAAAGGTATGTCTGTATTGAGTTTGAAAAACTATTAAAACATAAAAGTTATTATTATTAAAAAACTTCACATTCTTCTTTATGTCAATTCATTCCACTTTTCAAAATCTCAAACAGTACCGCTCATTTTCAACTCATTTTCCAGAGGGTTTTTTTTCTTTTCATGCGACCTGATGAATTTATGCCTAAATTATTATACTTTGTATCTGCTACTGTTTATAAGAATAAAAAGCCATGAAAATATTACAATATCTGTCACAAAATCAACAGTCATATCAAATCACACAGTGTTTCTGAAACCTTTACATATTAACATATTTTCATATGAACATTGCAAAATCCTATGTCAATACTGATGATAGAAAAAATTCTTCATCATAGAAATAATCTCACTGTACTAAGATAGCAAAGATTGCTGAAAATAATCTAGGTATTTTTCTAATAATCTATCTATTTTTCTAAAAGATGAATAAGAAAATTTTACTAAAAGTTCGAATTTCTGGCACCTTATGTGTTGGGTGTATTAAAAGGTATTGTTCGTATCTTCAAAACATAGAAAAACTTTCACAAATTTAGAATGCTGTGCTGCTTCCGAAATCCCGAAATCTGTATATTTCGTTCTAATGTAAGGAAAATAATCACTTATAAAAATCTACAGTATGCACAGTCTCGATATATCAAATAAGTTCGACGGTGTAGGTGACAGTAGGTAATTTTGACCAAGCACGTGGACGTGTCCCATAAAAGTGACACAAGTCTCTAAACACTATTTTCAGAGGTTTTCGTATGCGCTCTTTCTAATGATGTGAGTTACAAGATCAAAGACGTTTTCAACAGTAGTGTCCAAAGATCCGGTCTCTGGGAAACCCGACTAAAAGCACTTTTTGAACTTTGTGAATCACACCGTTAGAAAGAGCGCATACGAAAACCTATAAAAATAGTGTTTACAGACTCTTGTATCACTTTTACGGCACATGTTCATATGCCTAGTCAGAACTGCTACGTGAATGCTGCAAACCTTTCATTTCATTAAATCGAAGGATTTTTTGCTCATAAAAACATACAACTGACATATCATTCGATGCAGTTTGATGCGCTGATTCTAGGCATATCATTAGTTTTTGATGAAAGTGCTCCGGAAGGGTGAAAAAAATGGATTTCACCTGAAAAGCCAAGGTT